AAAGGTGCAGTAAATTTCTTCGACTTTACTGCACCTTAGTTAATTCTTAGTTTTTCCAAAAGTAAACAACCAGCTGACAGTTTTTTTCTGGTTTTATTTATATATGTTGGATCTAATTTGTCCAAAGGTTTAATGTGTCATGGGAGTCCCTTTAAACCAACAATAGATTTTTGTTGTTGTTTTTTACTAAGAGAACCAAGAAAATAGTAGCTCTGTTCTGTTAATTCAACAATATTAGTATATTACCTCTAAGTTATTAAAATAGGACAACTTTTTAAACAAGTAATACCTCCATAAAATAAAAGTTAAAGAATATTTTGTTCTCAAAGGTCTCACAAAAATCCTTTTAAATATTTTTTCCACAAATGGTATTATGTTACCTTAAAGAAACAGTGTGAGGAATTAAAGTTGCTTTGTTGGTTATTTTCTCTTTAATCCCTTTACACTGACAAAATTTGTTTTTTCCTTTTCAGAGAGACACAGAATATTAGTATACCCCAAAGATTCACTTATGTTTTCAAATTAAAAAAAAGAAAAATCAGCATCAAGAATTCTCACAAGATTTAGGAGGGATTTAAAAAAGGTTTCCAATTTTTACTTCTCAAAGTTATAGAGTTTATTAACATAAAAGAGAAAGCAGACATTTCATTGATCAGTTGCCTCTTTTATGGACCTTCTGTGAGTTTTGATTAATGAGGCAAACAATAAAGTCAATAGTTAGGACTTTCAATTCCAATGAATCTGTAAAAAACCGCATGCTGCTGAAAGAGTTGACTGCTGAAGACCTTGCAACTTTTCTTTGCATATTAAAACCCTTTTGATGGTTTTAATATGTATGTTAGTAACTCTGTTCAACTGCATCATTGTTTTTCTTTTGTATTTCTTCCCTGTTCTTAAAGCTTTTAACAATTTAAGGAATAAAGTAGTTTACTTTATTCCTTAAATTAATAAACTATAGCTTAGCTTATCTTTCATGTTTTGGTTGGATTGTAATTGTGTGACTTGACCAAACTGAATTCTGCTTCTGAATTAAGTGTGATTTTATGAATGTGAAACAAACATATTCACTGAATAATATGATTTGCTCAAGACCTCTTTGCTTCTGTCCAACAGTTATTCTACAACAGATGGAAAGTTTTTCACCCATACATCCCCTGCTTGGAGTTTCTGCTTCTCACTATTCATATTTATTTTGTCATTTTTATTATTCTTGGTCAGACAACCCCTACGAAGAAGCAATAGTTTCTTCATCATTATTTCTGGGCTGATGTTTACTGTCCCAGTGGGTCGCTTGCGAAAGAGATGTGTTGCAAGCTGATGCACAGAGGACCAAACAGACAGATGCCCAAACAGAAATATATTTCTAGTTTTTAACAAATTCATAGTGCAGAACTAATACAAAAGAAAAATAACTTTATTACTTTTTCTCTATGAAAAGTCATGAATCTGCAGACGATGGTTTGCCACAGTCTATTGGTTTTGTAACTGTGCAGTTTGGGGCCTAATTAAATTTATTTTGTGTAATGGGTGTTTCTGTTTTCACACCTATACTCTATAACAAAATTGAGGGAAAGCTAAAAATCCCCCAAACGTGGTTTGTCCCTTTGGTCCTTGATTTTATAAAATTTAATGCCACATATTCCCATGCTTAGATTCCATCCAACTGCATGCTTGTAAATTAAATATTTTGCACAAATCATCATTTATTCATAATCTTGGAAGATGTGCTGGCAGAGCACATTCCTGGAGTGTCCCTGAGCATTTAGAGAACTTTAAAAACTGTTTTCAGAACTGGCAATATTCAAACTTGTGCTTCACCCTGAGGCATCTGTTACTTTTATCCTCTCTACCGATAGCCCCACTAGCCAGAGGAACTTCAGCTGAAATAAGAACCTCAGATGTCAAAATCTCTTATGGTATAAAGTTCCCATTGATAATGATGCAGTGAGGGTTCATATATCTGACATTTCTTGCTTTAATCTGTTCAATTCACTCTAAATGAGATTATCCAGACAGTCCAGGAAGAGGTTTGGAAGTGAGCTCGCTGAGGTCTCTTCACTCTATCTCCTGTAAGCTACAACAAGCCCCAGCAGCTCAGGGAGCCCATCAGACTGATGAGGCTTCACCAGCAATGCAAACTTAGAAAAATGGCAAAGTCAGCTATTTCAGCAAACTCTTAAATTGTAACATTTTTTCAAAGGTGACCAAATCTTTCTGCAACTTGTAATTAAAACTCCTACTTCATGTGAAGTAGCATAAAAAAACTAGCAAGTAAAAACATTGTTTTTGGAACAAAACAGCATGTTTTTTTATTCTACATATTATTATATTATTATTGTATTTTAAACGTTGTGACTTTTAAAATGTAATAAAGTATTCTCTCCATGCACTGTCCACCAGTCAGGTCACGTTTCATAGATGTGTTAAAACTTATGATTCAGTTTTCTGAGTTACATCTAAAAAAAAAATCCTATTTTAAAGTCAGACACAATTTCTAAAATCTACACTGACCATATTCTTTAAGCTGACATATAGTTTTTACCGCCATACCTTGGTGTTCATAGTTTAACTTAAATAAAACAAATGATCGCTTTGATCAAAAAACTGAAGATGTGCAGAGCGTGGTTTAACTAACACTGCCGGCCACATACAGAGCAGGACTTTCTGTTCTCTGCTCTAGTTATGTCGAACTTTTGAGGGGGAAGCCCTGTCGTTCTGCAGCTAAAAGCTTCACCATGCACTGAATAATGAATACAGATTCCCTATCCAGCCTATCTGCACACTAGTTCAAAGGCATTCTGCTACCCCATGCATAAAGCAAAAAGACACAGCTATATGCTAATGGCCCTCAACTTCAGGAGCTCTACTGAGCTCAATGAGACCTGCAAATGTTCAAAATGTTGATGAAGACATTGGTGAAAAGGAAGAGATCAGGAGTGTTTTGAAGGGTGAAGAAAGCACAACAATGGGGCAACAGTCACAATAAAGACGCCTGCGCACTTGCATGAACTTATTGCACAATCCTTCAAAGTGCAGGAAGAACATGACATTCCAAGAGAGAACTGGACACTGCATTGATGCTGAGAGATGTCAATGACCTACAGGACAAAGGTGCAAAGATTAGACCAGACTTCAGAGGAGCTTAAAATGAGAGCCAGTCATTGTTGTACCCATTGCAGTTTTAAAATATAAATAAAATATAGTGAAAATATATTTTGCAAAAACACCATCGCTGGTGGGTGTGTACAACCATCTCAGTTCCATGGTGAGTCTGAGTGGAAACTTCCTGATTAAAAGCAAAACAAGAAAACTGGTTATCAGTAAAGGAAGTAGCACTCTGCTTGTTAGTTGATCACAGAAAAAATGTTTTTCTTTGCAAAAGCAGCACTCATATCCTTTGAGAAGATTTTGAATGTGTTTGAGGCATTTTCCTTTTTGTCTTCGGGATTTTATTCTTTCGAGTCTATCCCATAGCACTGCTCTGACTCTCCAGCTTTGGCTAATTTTCCAGCAACATTTCTTTCTTGATTCTCAATTTTCAGCTTGCTCTTGTTTTTTCCCACCTTCTTTTTTGTTCATGTTTGAGTTCATCATAAAACTTGTTTTTGTTCAGTTTGAAGAGTTTGTAGGAATGCGATTCGGGAATGTTTCCCATAATCTCAGAGCAGCAGCCATAGTAAATAAAGACAGGCCAACCATAACCAGAAGGACTCAAAGGAATACAGAGAAGTGTGCGGTTGTCGAGAATATTCTCATTTACTGCAGCTCAAATCCTCCAACCTTTGTTTAAATATTCAGCTTCCACGTCTGGAAGAAGCAGTACTTAAACCCTCTTGCTTTTTTCACAGCTGTAGGAGGGAATGGAAAACCTTTTTTAGAGCAGAGTGAGAATTGAAGACCCTCGCTGGCAATAAGCACACAGGATTTGAAAACATTTCAAGAAATTAGCCTTTTGCAAGTCAGAACTTTTGCAGATAATTCCTTAATAAGACATAATGAAATAACAATGTTCGAAATATTTACTGACAACTTTGTGCGTAATATAGGCACATAAGGAGTGTCTAGGTGGGATTCTCATACGGTTTAAACAAAATGGCTTTGTAAAACATATGGAAATATATGCGCTGTGACTTGCAAAGTATCCATAATCTTTTAACTTTTCTATATTTTGTCACTTCAAAGCTGCAAACTTCAATGTATTTCACTGGGATTTTTGTTAATAGAGTGTCTGGTGTTCCTTAATTCCTCAAAATGTATTTTGTTCACTGAAATTCTCTAAAAAATTTCTAAAAACACAATAGAAAAACTGTATTCAGCTTATATAGCAATACTTTCATTTTGGTGACTTTTCTGGGAAAAAATACTACATTTTTAGGGGTATTTGAGTAAAGAGGGCTGAATACATATGCAGGACACACTGTTCAAGATAAAATATAAACAGACCTGGAGTATAAATTTAGCCTATTTATTTGATAAATTCTTTTAAAAGATTTTATTAAAAAAAAAAAAAGACTTTAGGAAAAGTTCAGGGTCTTCAGAACGCTGGGTACTCCGAATAACAATGTTTGGCTGTTGTGTGGTTGAAAAAAAAAGGTGAATCACTTTACACTTCCTGCTGTTGGCTCAAAATTCAATTATGGCCTTTGGAAACACTAGATAAGCTAATTAAGTTCTCACAGTCCAACTTGTGGTTGGTGAATATTTCCTATCCACATGAAGCAGACTTTAGCCTCAAACACAGTACATACAACCACTCTATCCAGTTTTTTATTTGAAGAATAATAAAGCACCAGATATTTACATTTGATAGTAGAAGTTTTGTTTGGATCAGACTCTTGTATCAACTCCTCCGATTCAGAGAACTCACATTCAGTTTGCTTTCCACTAAATCCTAGACAAATTTAATGCCTCGTTTCTGCCAATTATTGAGTTTCTACCTCAGCTCATTAAGAAAACTTTCAGTGTGTGAAACCAGCATGATGTGAAACAAAGATACCAACCTCATTAAAGTGAGCCACCTCCCCACAATTCTCCGCTACGCGGCTGTAGAGGGGCAGACCTGAAAGATGGAGAGGATCCAGAGATTAAAAGGCAGTTGACTTAATGGCATCATGATAGCTGAGATTGAGTGGGCAGATTCACAGCCTGGGAAAGTTTCCACAGAAAGCAGCAGTCAAAGTTTGCTATGCACAAGAGAGTTTTGATGCATGGCTTGGATGGATAACACTGCTGCTACCGTCAAAAAGCTTTCTGAGTATTTGTTCACAGTTGCTTTTTATTTGTTTTCAGCAGAGGGACAATTAGCCTCATATTCTCCTTTGGCTCGGTTCAAATCTATAATTGTGACCCCAGAGAACAACATTTCAGACAGTTCAGGTAATTATTATATATGAGTTTTGTTAGCAAAACCTATTTTTGTAGCTTGTTAAGCACCCCCACCAAATCCTGATATATGCTGTGATCTTTACAGAGAGTAAAGCTTGCTCTAAAGTAGAGGAGCTAGAGAACTGAATTTGTTGAGGTTTCTTAAAAAAGTTATTCTCTTCATTTCTTACTATAATTTAGTCATAGTAATCAGACACACTTAATATGTGAATTCATCAAGTTGGTTGTTTCAACAAATGTGTTCAAATATTATGAGTGGCAATACTATTTTCTGAATTTAAGATGGCTGTTTTAACAGGGTGAATTGATTACATATTATTTTAACAACAATACACATTGTTCTATATGAACAACTGCTGCAAAACATACAGACATGCAAGGGAAAATATGTATTTCTCTTGAAGAAAAGGATCTGAGTGTACTTTGTGCATGCTTAGTGATTAGATTGCAACATACACACACAGACACAGTGGCCTTCACACTTGCTGGCACTGCAAGTGCTAGTTAAAAAAAACCTTAAAATATGTTGGTATTTTACTGCGGGTACAGATTGTTCCTGTTTTTTGTTGTATAAATATGACTAGACATATTTATACAATAGACGCCTTGTTTTCTTGGGCATGCCTCAAAATGAAAATAATAAATCAAGGAAATTATGAGTGTCTGTAATTATAAATGTAGTTTTGGCTTTCCTTTATGTAAAACAATGACAGATGCATTATTGGTGAATTATGTGAATTAGCTCATTCAAATCAATCAACGTTTGCTGAACTTAAGCCCAGTTCTTCTGACAGATGAGCCAAGTTATTAGGAAATGTGACAAAATGTAAAATCGCCCCATTGCCTTCTATAATATCTGACTAAACCAACAAAATCATTCATAAAATTAGAATAAAAACCAGGAAAGATGTGAATGACAAGACAGCAAATTTCCTAATTAACCCTTTCCAGGCAGATGTTGCAGATTTGCAACAGCTCAGTGCTACTTAGCTAGTCTTTGCAAGTAATTTGAGCCTGAGAGGGTTAACTCTTCAAGAAGATCACACATTTGAAAGAATATGAAAAACAGAAGTCACATTTAGTCTCTTTTAATGATTCAATTTTCTGTTGCTGAAGTGTTTATCAGCCCACTGCACAGCAACACACCTCCCTGATGCCTGCAGCAGCTCCTGATCGCCTGGCTGCTTTGTCCCACTCTGCTTTGTTGAGTTTATTTGCTTTGAATAAGTGAGGCTTAATGTGAGAACATGTGGACAGTCATACAAACTTAAGCACACACAAATATTAATAAAGCACACTGCTCTTTTAGCTGTAATAATACATCTGAATAGAAATCCTGGGTTCTGCCTATCTCTGATAATATTGTGAATAACAAAGCTTGACAATATCTTTTCATTCATCTATGAAGCAAACACACGTCGTCTCGGCTTAGGAGCAAATAGAAATGCACAGCAGAAAAGAGCACAGCTGAAAACATACTAAACCTGTTTTAACTTTCACATTTCATCAAAACAAGTCGCTTTTCATTTTTCCCCATCTCTGTCGCATCTCTCTGAGATTCTGCACCACCTCGTGAAAGCCCACGTCCCTTTGAAGCAGTTTTTAACTAAACAAATAGCACTTCAGAGTCAAAGTGGGAGAAGAGACAACACGCCTCCTACATTATTGATAACAGTGGCCTCTCACAGGAGTGATTTCACCCAATGAGAGAAAAATAGATAATGTGTGGCTTATGTAAGGTGCTCCAAACTAAACTAAAGAAAACTTTCCACCTATCACTTCAAGTTGTTGGCATTGCCCAAAGAGGGAGATATAAAGACTCCCAAAGTTGAGAGAGCATAAATAAAGAGAAAACCTTCCTAGAATGAGAAGCACATGTTTTATTTTATGAAGTGAGAACGAAAGAAGAAGAAAAGAAAAAGTTTGAGATGTGCTATTTTGTTTTGCCTTTAGTTTATATTTTATTTTATTACAGTGGACTCACAGTACCTCTAATATGAACCAAATGTCCATATAAGCATAAGAGAAATTAAAAAAAAGTCTCTACAGAGTGGAAAAATTATTAAAATATATATTTTTAAAAACTTTTCTGTTGGGTGAATGTTAAGACAAGACTTGATAAGTGCAAGACAAGAGCAAAGCTTAAAGTTTTCAAATATCTCCAGGCATTTTTCCATATATTCTCATTAATGAATATTACACACTTAAATAAAAGCTCTGTAGGCTACGGCGCCAACCAATGAGCAACCAGTATAGGAGGACTATTCTTTAAAAAAAACCCAGAGCAACAGATAACAGAGAGTTCATTAAAGATTTGTCAGGAAACCAATTAATTTTTTGGCGCCTCTTCGTTTAAGGCGACCTCAGTTCGTTGATTATATCTGCTTTTCAAAAAAATGACGAATCAATCACGGGTGCAAGAAGACAGTTTATAATTAAGTCTTCTTTGCGTTGATTACAGTTTTGTCATCTCCCGATGTATGAATGGAGGCCTTAAAGTTTTTAAATGAAAGACTACAGAAAGAAAACTGCAGTTTTGATGGAAAAGTAGCAGTAGAAGTTTAATAATTGCTTATATTGAGTTTACCATGTAAATTTCCATGGTCAGCGTCCACAAATACACAAAAAATGCACATAAGTTACAGCTCAGTAAATTGAGATATACATTCCAATCATTCTTGTTTGTCAAACTAATTTTTTTTTAAATAACAATTAATAGGTATTACACATATCATCATGTTTATGTGATGATAGGAGGTTTTACCAAAACCACAGATATAGGTTCTTCATTGTTTTTAGCCAAAGTTATTAAGAGCCACCTTTGGAGTCCCCTGGGATACAAGACATATCCCTATGGATTTTTAAATTAAATATCACTTCCCACCTTGCAGAGAAACCAAACTATTTTATAGTCCAAGCATTCTTAAAAGGACGGAGGTCAAAGCCATCCAGGCCATGACAAGTTTTTATTTATGTTTAGATCTTTGTCCTGTTGAAATAGTCAATTGTTTTTAAGTTAGAGCTTTTTACCCATTAATTTGTGGAGGTAGTTGTCCTTCTACAATTTACTTCAGCAAAGATCCCCAGCATGATTCTACCAGCCCCATGCTTGATATTGTTGGTAGAGTCTTCCCAGATTGAAAAGCCTCACTCTGACTCATCCAAACATATTTTTTTTGTAATTGTGGACAACCAGCTCATGTCCGTCTAGAAGAATTTGCCTTGTTTATGTGAATTTCTCAGATGAATGTTTTCCAACACAACAATGATCCCCATCACAAACTAAAAAGAACAGGAGAATGTTTAAAAACTGCAGTAGGATGTAAAGACAAGCTGAAAATGGTTCAATGGTTTCCCACTCTATTCCCATAGGGAGCGATGTGTAACATTAAGGTGTGCCCCTGCTCCATCACAGCTGTTTCAAATGGCTGAATGAACTCCTGAGCTTGCCATCAAGTTTTCCAGAGGCTGTTAAAGAACCATTCATTTAATTTAAGGTGAGCTGAAGCAGCAAAACACATATAACCTTCAGGCCTGGAGCTGTAAATGGTAATTCTGTGACAATTTGTACCCTTAATCTGGGCAGCAGCTGGCCATCACAATACGCAGCGAGTCGAGCAGATGCACTATATGCCGAGGCAGTCAGTCCTGTCAGAGATCCTACACAATTTTACTGAATTTCTTTATTTTCCTTTCTATCAACTGTCAAATAAAAGCCAAGAATATCTTAATAAAAACAGGTAGAAGCCACAGCAACTCTAAACACATAATCATGCAGCTGTGAGCCAGAACAGCTCCAAAGTAGAAAGTGATTCCTGTGTTGTTCTGCAAAAAGTGTCTGATGGAAAAGTAGCAGCAGAAGTTTTTAATAATTGCTTATATTGAGTTTCCTGAGTCAGCAGCACAACTTAAAATCAGTTTCAGATTAAGTTAATTTGTGTCTACCTGTGAATTATTCAGAATATTAAATCTTATTTCCATATGAATATTATCAAAAGAGAGAAGAAAACCCTTCAGTAAATTGACTCTACACCTCAGCCTATCAATACATGGAAGAGTGACCCCAAGGAAGCTCTTTATACCACACCATAAACAAAGCTGAGCCATTTAAGGTTATTGCTTTCTAAGGAGTTTGGAGCAGCGATTATGTCTAATATTTTATTTATGAGTGTATAATGCAAGACTGTTAAGTTAAGAATATCGTCTTTGACTTTAGTATTTATTTTACACTTCAAAGGCTCTTATACATTTTAAACCCTCTCAACAATCTATTTCTTCTTGACAGACGCTTTCCTGCCCAGACAGGAAGTTTTCCGAGCTGAAAGCGCTAAGGAAACTCCACTGACAGGTTTTAGAGAAAGGCATGACTCAAAATAATCCCTCAGACACAAAAGAGATTGACACAAACACACACTGAACAGAAATATTGTCATACTGTATCCCAAAACTATGCAGCTGAAAACAAACATATCTAAACTGTATCAAGAGACAAATCCCTTTTCTGTTCACACAATGACAGAAAACTCAATTTTTTCTGGTTTAGGTTAGTTGGGATTACCGAGCTTATTTAAATACGGTTATCAAAGGTTGCCAGTCCATTCAGAGGCACACACACTCACACACATCTTAGGAGAATTTGGAACAACCAATTAACAAAAAAGTCATATTTTTGACCAGTTAAGGAGATGAAGCACCTGAGATTTATGAGGAAGTTGTTAAAAGTTTAAGCAGAAAGAGCCCAGGCCAGAACTCAAACCCTTGACCACAATGTAAGACTGTTAACCACTGTACCACCATCCAGACACTAGTGGTAACCTGTAAATCATAGTCTATGCCAAAGCAAGATAGCTGTAGAAGTCTATGGCCTTGCATTTAAAAAGAAACCTGACAATATGCAGCTGCTTCTCCCTGCTCTTCTAAGTGTGCACGACTTACTCATGTTCTCTAAGTTATATTGGATGACAGAGTAGCTTTGGTTGGTAACATTGCACACAGAAACCTTGTATTTTTTCTCTGCAAATACAATTTGGATGGCTCTGGAAGTGAGCTCCTATACCTCAAGCATCTTTCTTGCTGTTCTGTCAGCTATGGGAGAAGTATTGAAAACACAACATGAGGAAGAAGCAAGTGAAATAGTGTGGCAGCAACAAGCAAAGCCCACTGGCATAACAAAACCAGGAGTGTGGAAAAAAGTGTGTGCTAAAAGAAGTTTCATGTCCCATTCATATTCTGAAAAAAAAAAATCTCTTTCAGTTGTATTCTTATTTGTTATGCTCTACTGAGACAAAGTGTGCAAATAACTCAAAGGATCATGCTGATATACACCCCTGCAAAAAACAAAGACAGTAACCGGGCTACGGTGAGAACAAACGTGTATTGGTACAAATGATGATAAAGGAACAACGAATGAGTGGTCACCTCCAAAATAGAAAAGAAAAAAAAAGGAAATAAAAGGACTAGAATATGCAAAGACACAGAGGAGGGTACAGCTAACCAAACAAAAATCAGGAGCATTAAAATTCAACCATAACAAAAGCAAAATAAACCAAACAATGCAGGGGACACTGATTAATCAACACCAACCACAACTACACCTATTAAAATCTGGAACATGTTGTAGTCTAAAAAACACTATTTAGACAGTAGCTCAAATCAAATTTCACAACAGAATGCACACAAATATAAGCACAGAAGCAATAATGTTGTTTCAAACAAACAAAACCTAAAGTGGAAAGTCAGACCTCAAAGAAACTGCAAAACTGTAATCAGCCAAGTCAAAACCTGATTGATGTATCTATTGAAAGCATTAGTTTAGCGGAGATTGGACTGGACAGAATAAGTCTTTTATTATTTATAAAGCAGCTGTCTATTTTCTATGGCATCAATATCCATTTTTTTTAACCTTTGTGAAAAAGCAGTGAATAAAAGAGCAGGGAAAGCATGGACTACGTCCAAAAACATAAAACAGGCAAACATCCACACAGTACAGCGTGTTCTTCATATTTTATCACCTTATACAAATTTTGTAATAATAAACACCTAACTTTTGAAACTGTCATCTGTCAGAACATTTTCTAATGGAACCTTGAAACAGTATTCAAATACATTTTATAATTACAGAGCCACAAACTTGGATGTATTTTTGTAGTATCACCATCCATACAAAAATGATGCTGCCACATTATACTTCACCGTCAGGATTGGTGTGTTATAATGGTGATGTGTATTATTTGTCTTCTGTTGCACAGAATATCGATCAGACACCTTAACTTTGATCCTTTTTGTTTTACCAAACATATCTTCTTCAACCTACTTCCTGTCTTGTAGCATACTACATAAAGAGTATCTGATGGCTTCAAAAATTTGTCATCAGATTATTTCACCTACACTTCAGCTCTCTGCAGCTCCTCCAGAGGTGCCACAGACCATGCTCTGCTTCTCTGCTTGATACTTCCCTTCCCCATGGTGTCAGTTTATGTGGATGGCCACGTCTTGGTAGGTTTGCATCTATTCCGTGTTTTCATATTCAGATGATGGATTAAATTATTCATGGGATGTTCAAAATTTGTGTACTTTATCGTAACCTAACAATGCTTTTAACTTTTCTACAGTTTTATCACTGACCATCCTCCTGGTTAATCAGTAGCCAGGCTAGCCTGGACAGTAGCAGTTTAAATGCTTTAAACATTTACATTAATGTTTAAAGCAAACCTTAAAATATTAAGATATGCTTTATTGTTTCTAAAGCAAATATGTAGAAACATTCACATAACAGTTGTATTCATTGTGCATTATACATTTAATTTCAGTGTGAATCTATGTAATGTATGAGGCATTTTATTTGTGTTTGTCAGAGTAAAGGGGTCCAGATAGAAATGTATTCAATTACTTATTTGTAAAACAATGGACATCATGCATCATTTCCCTACCACTTCACTATGATGTACATGCAGTTAATGCAAAGTAATACATAGTCATATGCTACTTTGTGTTTGTAAAATAAAACCTTGAAAAAATATATGAATATATTGTAATCATAATGTGGGATAATACGAAACAATCTAAATATTCCTGGCACGTTACCGTCTCATTGTGAACCATTTTGAAAAAACAAAGAAATTTGCAACCTGGATGACACCAAAAACTTCCACATACACAAAATACTGGTGAAATTATAAAGAGATGAACTGAATCTACTAAGCTGACAGTTGTACCACGGAGAAAAGGAGCCCAGAGTCGAATTCCTGACAAGGATGACACGGTTCATGTAATATCTGTACCCAAGCGAAATCACTGCAGCACAGAGCCTAACACTGAGAGGCATGCTGGTCTCCTTAGCGCACACAGAGCTGTATGAACAGAGCTGTATGTACAGAGCAGACAAAAGGACAAGAACTGGATGTGGGTTTTGTACCATCTTCCACACTCAAGATGATGACACTGGGATTTTTAAATCAGAGTTGAGGAGGCACTAAGCACCTGTCAGGGAGCACTGATCACTGTCCAAGGTGCTGAAAGATGCACTCCTGTCTCCTTATCTCCCAGACACAGAGTAACACACTGAGTAGTGAATGAATCCACACTTTGTTAACCTTGTCTTATGCGCTAGAGGCCAGGTATTGTACATGTGTATTGTACAAAGTGCGAAATGAGAAAGAGCCTCTTTTTGTACATAATGATAAAAAGAAAACCTGTCATGCAACAGTAATGCAATCTGTGGTTCCATATTATGCTTTAGCGTATTTTCACATTGTCTCACATATAGAATATATTTGATAATTTTGCTGCACAGACAACAGAGCACTTTGACACTTTGCAAAGGCTTTTTTACCCTTGAACCTTTTCTTACGTTGTCTTAGTGTACTATAAACCTCCAGGCATATTATTGCATTGCATTTAATGTGGTAGACCAAAGCAAAACAGGACACATCTGTGAGGTGGGAGGAAAATTGAGCAGTTTTGAAATGCTTCACAAGTAGAAGTTCAGGAAATATAGTGTGCATATGTTTTCACCCTTTTTACTCTAGCATCCCAAATAAAATCCAATTACATTCAGGATTATCCTAATTAGCAAATTTGCAATTTGTAAATTAGAAAGCCACTCATTTATGAAACCATTTATGATACTTCAGGGGTAGCAGAAAGCCCTGAAGGGTCCCACCTGCAGTTTGATGCAAGCCATGAATGGAAAAGTGGGGGCAGCATCATGCTTTGTTCAACAATCGGGAACCTGGACAGACCTGATTAGATTAGATGGCAAACTTCTATGACAACTTAAAGGCTGGAAATGTCTGGGGCAACAATTTGCTCTCCTTCAGGCCAAAAATCCCAAACATTAATTCATGGGGAGCTAAATACAGCACTCTTTCCAGATTTTTTTTTTTCTCTTTGTAAACGTATTTACTTCCATTTAGCAATGATGCACATCATTTAGCAATGATGTACGCACACTGCTGTGCGTACATCATGCAAATTATTTGTACAACTAAATATGTGAAAAGGTGCAAGCAAGTTTTCTGGGATAGAAACTCAACACCACTCGTTTATTATGCCCCACTGCGTCATACACTCGAACTTAAACTAGGACACAACATATTGTTAAACACGCGGGCTTCAACGTGCATAAATGTCGCTCCTACCTCTGAATGTAACTTTCGCAATCCTGTCACCTTTCCCCCGAAGGTGAGCCACCGTCTTCAGGTGAACCACTAGAGACATCATCAGTGCGTTTTGGCCGAGGGGGAGTAAATTTTTTACTCCGCGCAGATAAAACTTGGACCGAATTGGTGCAACCACTGATTTAATGAGAGCCTGTGCTCGACTCTGGACGCGCTCTGCCCAAAAAACAATCACCTCTCCCGCACCATGGGCTTTTATATAAGACAGATAAATTAAAAAAAAAGAAGAAGAAAAAAAACTGAATTAATCACAGGCTCCAGTTAATATTTTCTCCGAACTCCGGGCATGGTCCCTGCTGCCAGTTTCTGTCGCTCATTTCCGAGCTGGCGCTGGATTTTACGCTGGTCGAAGCGCAGGAAGGGCGGGGGGAGCCTTCACTTCCAGCGGGAGGATGCTGATGCTCTAATTGCAGGGTTAAAAGCAGAGGCAAGGAATTCAAAGGAAAATAGCTAATACTCTTTGTTTTATGTGACTGTAACTATGCGACTAAATAATTGGGTATTTATTGACTCGCTGTCTTGTTTACAAAAACTTTGCTTAGCAAACACAAAACGTTAAACCTAAGTTCATAGGAGAACAAGAATAACTCTTTCATATTGTGTTCCAAAACAGAAAGCTGTGCAGGTTTTATGACTGTGAAAATTAGTATAATTATGCAGGTAAGCAAAGATTAATCCTTTATCTTAGATAATTCACGTGTCGCAGGATTCAATATATGTTCCCTGACATTACAGTTGCCAAGCAACTATGTCTCCATAAGTGAGTTAAAAAAACTATCAGAGGTCAGAGGAACAAGGTCCTCCTCTGGCTAATGGTTCAGATGCTGTTCTGGAGACTGACTGGAGCCCACAGATCATGAAACAACCAATCATGCTGACATATGTTTCAAAAGTATTTCATACCACACATTCAAACACCTGGATGAGGCTGAAGATCGATAGAGTAAAAAAGAAGTGAAAAAAGGTGAAAGAACAACCCACAGTATTGTTTGATGGGTGAGAGGATGTCCTAAAATGTTTGTGGCTGACCTTAAGGTTTTACAAATTGTAACAATGCAAGAAGAATGTAAGTTAAGAAATGCTGTTGGAGTATTTGTGGACACTGAAAAGCTAATTAAACTAATTAAGAATTACTAGAATTTTTTTTTTTTCTGTATCACTATGTGGAACTGAACTGCTGAATAGTTTGAATATTTTACTTAGACAATGTCCAATCATAAAACAGTTCAAATCATCAGACACACATAATGATTACTGTTGGATTTAATATATAAAGTAATTACTAAAATCATTATTAATGTTTTGTTGTTTCTGCTAGTTTTTGTTTTTTGACAATTCAAACATAATATTGTTCTTGCTGCCGTAATTAAATATAAATAAATACCATATTGACAGGTTAGCTATTAAATGAGTATTTTATATATGTTCTATTGCATTCATGTATTATATTTAACGTTATGTAGGCGATGTGAAGATAATGATTAGGAACATAAATATATTGACACTCCCGCCCACTCCCTTGAATATGTAAAACAAAAGTTTTGACATTGTGCTATATGCTGAAGATGTTTCTGTTCTTACTGGAAAAAAAGACAAATGTAATGTATGCAGTAAAGAGTAGAAAATCTGGACGAAATGACACTTTCAGAGAATCAGGAGTTACTATGACAGCATATTGAAAAGAAAAAAGCTGGTTTATTGAAGGACATTAAACAAAAATCTGCTTGGAGAAGCAAATAAGTAGTAATAATAGAGATTATATTGTATGCAATTGTAGAGCCTAAAACAAAGATGACCAAAATTATTAATTAATAACAGAACTCAAGAGACTGATAACAAAAGCGTAACTAAACTGAGTCTGATTACAGAATGCTACACGGGTCAGTAAATGAACATATGAAAAGCAGCTGGAAGGGAATATGATGCTATTAATGTACATTTGTCATTTTTATTAAATTAGAAGCAGCGAAGCAGGTAAGAACACCTCTTCTACTGTGTTTGATCTCAGCAAGTATAAGCTCTGATAAATAAGATAAGACTAGACCTTCAATAAAGCCTTGAATCTAATAACTGAATCTAATAAAAACCCCTGCAAGCATTCCCACAATGAAGAGGGAGCCTGAGTTAGCTCGTTAGAGTTAGAGAAAAGTTAGAGAAAATGAATAGATGATTGACCTTGATAATATGAAAGATCTTGTCATGAAAAAGAAAGAACTCACTTTTTTAAAATCTTAAAAAATGAAAGAAAAACTGGTTGTTAAATTGTTTTATTTGTTTTTTAAAAATGGTTTATTATTTTAACGTCAAAGACTCAACAAGAGTTTATTCATTTTCAACACAAATATGCAACATCCAAGTGAATATAATTAGAAATGAAGTCTTCTAACATAAGGCATAAAAATATTGTTTCCTAATATTGTTTCTGTGTGCTGAACATTTTTCAGTGAAAGAGACAACATCCTCCTTTCTTTTAAGAGTCACAAAACAAAGAAAAGACCATCCTGGAAGGGCTGCTTCATCACCCAGTCATTTCATCAGTAATACGCCTGGGTGTGATTAACATAGAATCAGTCAGTGATTGGGTTACTGATGATATCAAGGGTCATGTCTGAGTAACCTGCATAATAAAGCCCAGAAACATCTGGGTGAAATCAGTGGAACAGCTCAGATTCCCAACAATTTTTCCCATATTGCTGCAAGTCTGTGAAACTGGAATGTAGAACTTATGTCCTTTTGTACTTTTAGTGATATTTTTTTCTTTGTGCAGAAAAATGTAATTGGAAAGTTAAATTACAACAGTAAATCATTTTAAAAAGTGAAACATATACAGTAGGTTATATGTAGATGTGTAGTACATAGAGTGATATATTTCTGGTGATAAATTTGATGAGTATGGATTCTAGCTACTAAAAACTTTAATTTTAGTTTCTCAGAAAAGTTGAATATTGCTCTTGATCTATTCTAACAGACATGTCTACTTATGAAAGCATAAGTTCATGTACTGTGCAGGATGTGTTGTCAGGGCTCTTTCATAAATTACTTAGTGGAGGGACCAGCTTGTGGCTTTGCTGAGGTGCTATGGAGGCTCTGGTTGCTTTAACAGTTGCCACTAGCTCATCTGCATCATTGCATCTGGTCTTGGGCTTGGATTTGATAAAACCCAGTGGGCCTACATCAGCAGCTGACAAAGGCTCCACAAATCCTCGCTGACTGAGGAAACATCACACTGGACCTCAAGGTAATTAGACATGGCTCTTCACTCTTCCTGGAGGCTCTCAAATGAAATGCAAAATGTTGTCTGGATTTGAGACAACTGAATAATTTTTTCTGTTTCTTCTGACATTGTCTTGTTGTCGGGAGAGTTTTAACACAAATAATGCAACAGTTGCAACCCATGCGCTGGACATATCTGTATGTGGTGAAGCACTGTCTCCAGCGCTAGCCCAGTCCCTTGTAGAATTTCCTTCAAGTTGATTTTCTTTTACTTCACTCTTCTCCACGGGTTGTTGTTACCCCACTGTTTTTCTACTACATTTTTTCCTTCCACTGAACTTACCATTACCGTATTATGTTTGGAGGCATCACTCTATGAGCATTGATCTTTTTGAGCAGAGACCTTTTGTGAATGGGTCTCCTGGTGGTTGTGTTCCCCATGACTGTATGGGCCTTAAAAATAAAAATTGTACTCAAACCTTTTGGTGTATAATAAATATGAGTATAATAGACACACCTGTGCGACAAAGTTTTTGCAACAAGACGGTTTAAGAGTATTACACTGAATTTATTTGGTAGAATTACAAATTCTTTGGTGTGGATAATTAAACTATGAGTGTCTTGGGCTCTAAAAAAATTGAACACATATAAATGAAATGCAAAAATAGCAACCCAAAACGTTCCAAATAATAATCTATTAAAAAGTTACATCAACGAGAAATAGATTTACTGATAGAAGAAACACCAGTCAAGGCATGTCCATGGTCTCTCTCAAAATGTGTTCTCAAATGGGAAAGATGTGTTCTACTTTTTTTTTTTGACATCCAAGTGAAGCAAATTTGACAAGCAAAAACAACAAAAAAGAAAATGAAACCATATTCAATAAAATGTTGATAGAACTGACTGGAGCACTCGCTATGTTTTAATACCTACTTGTGTAAGCCTTCCAGACAGCCACCCGTTAAATCCATGGAGATGGCTTTTGTTATCAGCACCTTGCCTCTTCACTCAGGGCAATCAGGAGGACATGTCACAAACAGCCTCAAGCATGTGTATAACAAGTCAGAGCCCTTTGCAGCCTGTAGACTGAGCTGACTGAAGCGATATCTCAGGAGGAATGGAATGCAGCTATCTTCACTCAATCTGCTTTTGCGTGAATCTGTAACAGGGTTTTGGCACTTTTTAAAAAAAAAAAAATTATTTGCTGCTTTGCAGAGAAACCACAAGGCAACCATCTGCTTTATTGAGAGTTTTCAGGTTAAAAATGCATTACGTTTTTGTGCTGACTCGTGCATTATTTCGGTGAGCTGCAGTTCAATTTATGTGTGTGTGTGTGTGTGTGTGTCTGCGTGTGTGCGTGTGGCTGTAACACGGTGCTGAGAATCAGAAATGAGGTCATGAAAGGTATCGTTCTGAGAACAGAAGTCTTTATCTCCTTGTTGCTTTTCTGTCTGCACATAATCTGCACAAAAATAATTACAACCAGTGTCCTGTTGCAAATACAAAGCCAACAAATCAAAACAAGTTTTTCTCATGTATTTTTTTAGTCAATCGATATGAATATTAGATGTATATTTTAGGATTCAATCTATGTGTTGCATGTCAGAGTGGAGAACAAAAACCTGGACCTCTAGAAGCTGAAAACCCAATAGTATTACAAATCACTTAAAGTTTAAAGTCTAAGTTGTCAAAGTTGTGTCCAAATTCTCAATTTTTTCAATGCTTTGATTAAACTTCTGAACCGCATATTTTTTTGTAATCTTTATATCAACTTTTCTTGACTTCTCAAACTGGGTTGTGAAAAAGCTGAGTTGACCTTTTTACTGTTGTTTAAATGACTTTAGCCAACTGAAAGAGATTTTAGATAGAAAGAAAATCACCTCCAAAAAAGTAAAAGCATATGTTTACTTTTCTTGGGGAACCTATAGAATAGAATAGAATAGAATAGAATAGAATAGAATAGAATAGAATAGAATAGAATAGAATAGAATAGAATAGAAGAAAACAGGCAAATGACTCAAAAAGCATGTAATAAAACATTTCAAACCATTAGAATGGGTAAAATGTTACATAAAAATGTCTTCAAACAA